TTCTTTCCCTACCTCCTTAAGCTCGGCCTTTGCTTCACTCCAAACCTCAGGTACCTTTAAACCGTGGCTTTTGGATAGACTTGTTTTAATCACATGACCAGTGATGTTCATGCTTTGGAAAGTATACGTCCAGTTCAGGAATTTGGTATCGACTATGCATAGAATTTTAAACTCGTGAAAAGGATGCAGACTATTCATACCTTGATTGTTCTAGCCGCATTGAATGCTGGCCTTTGTTGCAGCTGGATAGTAAAAATGTGTTTTTGCATGGTGACTTGAAGGATGTGGTTTACACGGAGCGTCCTCCTAGCTATCGGTAAGGAACTTCCTCTCAAGACTAAAATTTGCTTCGCTCCTTGTATGGTCTCAAACAGGCGCATCGCACTTGGTTTGAGAAATTTCAGCTGACTATCACAGGTTGGGGTTTTTTGCCAGAGCTTAACGATCCGTCCTTGTTTACTTGTTAGTCATCTCCGGGTATTCACTAGCTTTATAGCAACGACATGGTGGTTACTGGGGATGATTCTGCTGGCATTTTTAATTTGACTGATGGTATTCATGCTGTATTTAACCTCAAGTAGCTGGGTTCACCTTCTTACTTCTTGGGTCTTGAGGTTCATCGCACACCAACGGGAATACTTCTTAGTCAGCATAAGTATATTAACGACTTGCTTCATGACACACACTTTGATCATAGTCGTCTGTCAGCTACTCCTATTGATCTTAATGTCAAGCTCAAACGTGATAATGAGACGTTGCTTCCAGATGGTTCGGTATCGTTTGATTGTTGGGAGTTTGATTTATTTGACCCATAATCGTCCTGATATATCTTATGTTGCGCAGGTTGTTATTCAGTTTATGTCTCAACCTCGTAATTCCTCCATGTTTAGAGCATCTTGCGTTATCTTCACCAGACCCAGGATGTGGGTCTCTTCTTTCCTTCCGCTAGTTATTCATATTCGGGTTTTGTTGGGTGTATAAACACTCGTCGATCAACCGGTGGATTGTGTGTTCGTTTTGAGAAGGCCTTTGGTTCGTGGAGATGAAAAAAGCAACAAAGTGTCCAAATCGTCTACTGAAGCTGAGTATCATGTGATGTTTGAAGTTGGCTCTGAGCTTGTTTGGTTACATCGTCTCCTTGTTGATTTTGGTGTTACGTGTGTGGTTACTATGCCTTTATTTCTAGACAACACTATCTCCACGAGCGCACACTTCGCGATCCACATTCATTGCATTCCTGACTTGGTGCGTGATGAGGGGGTGGTGCTCCATTATTTACCGATTGAAGATCATGTGGTTGATCTATACACCAAACCCTTCTCTTCCATTCTCCACTGGCCATGAGGACAAGGCCAGTAGCCAGCCATGTTGCCCAAAAGTTGAGTGGACCGCCGGGAGATGGAGTTGTAGGGATGACTCATGGAGAGAGAGAGAGAGAGAGAGAGAAAGTCAAATAGTGGGAGAGCAACTGCGTTTAAGGGCAAAATTACACGTTTGATTACTCAAATCATACGAATCTTTCACGTTTGCCACCCGAATCACTTTTTCTTTCTTATTCGTCACTAACTTTATGAATTGTTTCAGCGTTATTCACCGGCCATCCAATTCTGTTAAAATCATCCTACATAGAAGTCAACTAAGCACTTTCCTTACCACTAGTATAAGAAACTCTAATTCCTATTGTTGAAGAACAAAACAATGACAATGATTCTTTTCGAATCAGTAAGTAATAACGTTTTCGCCTTTAGATCGTAGTCTACGAACCCCTTCTGTTTTGGGGCTATTTGCTGAAATGGGCATATGAGATTTTGAGTAAATTGAACGGTTTCTTCGGGAACATTGAGAAACCATAATATTGGGGATAAGGCAAGGACAAAAGCAAAAGAATATTTTGGTATGCTTTGCCAAACAAGCCTTTCTTTATGATGAGGAGGATGGAGAAGGAGATGAAAAAGGATCATTTTCACGAAGAGTCGGCTGCTGCTGAAGATATGATGTAACTGATTTAGTTGAGCACAAAGTGCCATTTACTTAACAGGGTTTTCGAGGACCTTGGTTCTTGTTTGAACCAGCTTCGAGCTTAATTGGAAACAACAACAATTACCGAAAAAATTATTTAAAGTTGGATACTAGTATGTTAGTACTGCTCGGCATGGCCGAATTCCGAATTGTAGTTTACTCATGTATTTTGCAGGATGCCGTAAATCAAAATGAATCCCAGGAAACTTCCTAATGGTGGTGCCCATCCAGAAGGCATGCTGAACCGCAACCACATGTATATCCAGAGGTTAAGCAGCCGGTAGAGCCGGAGGTTGAGCATCCTGTTGGTTTCTACATATTTCAGTACATACATCGTGTCACACCATAACGCTCCTAAAAGTATTAGACTTTTGGGAGAAGGATGCAAGTTACTATGCAGCTTGCAAGTAAGAGGTCCACAAGGCAGGGTTTGGTGGTCTATTGGAGCTTTGACGGCATATATTTGACCATAGCTTGTTGTATGAGTTGATGTCCCATATTGAATTCTTCTTGGTGGGGCTGAGATCAACGTGAAGAAGTGTAAGAAACAGATTCTTGACAGTTTCTCCTTGTAAATCGACATGATGGGTAACCACCACCAGAATGTTAATTTATTGGACCTGCTTGATGTAGCTATCTCCCCCATGGCGAGACCTGATGGTCGGGTGGTTGTGAAGCAGTTCTTGTTGGTTGTCATGGTTCATTTCTCGCTCCAATTTCCGCACGCAACTGCAAAATAAAGGGTTGTCTACTTCTAAGGCACATAAATTTGTTGCTAGGGAATGAAGAGCTTCCATGTTGTGGGTTCGCGGGGATATCCACTTATTGATGGTACGTTATGAGCCTTGTTTTAGTTTTATTTTGCTTTAGTTTTTCACTTCTTGACTTAAATTTTTTGAATTCACTTTTTATAGGTCCATTTTTCGTACTTCGTTAGACTGGAGGTTTGGCCACCTCCACCAGCTCCAGCTCCAGCTACTAGTTTAAACCAAGGATAGATGAAGTAGTAGAAGATATCACCATTGGTGAAGAGAAGGAAAGAAGAATTCAGCTGGTTGTAGTGTTGATGACAAGGGACGAGGTCAGATCCCGCTTTCGGAGAGAGGAGGCACAAACTTTTGAGAGGAATATGGAACTAGACTATAGAGCGGAATGGTGCACCACCTTGACATCAACCAGGTTTGTAAATTTCATCTTTGTTTGTAACTTAAGGTGGTGTGTTAGTAGAATGGTTGCATGCTGAGAATTAAATGTTTTACCACATATGTGTAGCTTACGGCAATGTGGTCAATCAGTGAGAACATGATCAGTAACTAGGAATCAAGGCGGGCTAAGGTCCAAAAGAGGGAGTCCATTTTTCTCCAGCAATACAACATTTGAACTTTTCTTTGTAGTTGTTGCTTTCGCAATTCTTCTAGTTGCCATGTTGGAATGGCTTTTAAATTGCAATGTACTCATTTTGTTTTACTTGAATACAACTTGTTTCTGTGGTAGATTGATATTAGTCAGTGGCATATTGATAGCAGCGTTCAAGAAGGCGCGCATAGGCGTGCGCCTAGGCTTAAAAAAGCGCAGGCGCTGAAGCAACGCTGCGCTTTTGTTAATAGCGCTGTAAAAAGCGCTTAATGCGCCTAATAGCTATTAATGGACGACTAATAGGAGACAAATGGGGCCTAGGCGCGATTAATGGGGCCTAGGCGTTTTTTATCAGCCGCTGGAATTATCACAATATGGAATCGTTTTGATCTCCACAATTCAACGCTGCGTTTTGGCTTCTAGTTGGCAGTGGTAAGTCTTCTTCATCTCAGTTTCTCATAATCAATCGTAGCCCAAACCTTAATTCCCTCTTCGTCTTCCTCCATCCCATGATTCTAGGTTAGATACGAAGCTCGTCGGCCGCCTCTTTTCTGTACTGAAGCTCGAACGCAGTCGGAGAAGCTCTTCGTCACTCGGGTGCCGGCCGCAAAGAGAAGCTCGTCTCACCTCTGTAAGTACCCTGTTCTGTTCTGTTCTCGTTTATCGTGGGTGAGGGAACAAAAAACAAACAAAGTGAAATCAAAACTCACCTGAATGAAACCTGGTTTTTTTTCAATTCTAAAACCAAAACTCGTTGCTTTGCCTATGTTTCCTTTGTGTGTTGTACTTGTGATTGTTACTGCAAAATGAGTTGGGGCAGCATGAGTTTTGTCGAGCTTTGTCTCTGTTTCCTTTGTTCAATTTCTATACTTATATTTTGGATTGTTATTGCTAGTTGTAGCTTTGCTGGTGGACGCCAAAAGGACAAAAAACCTTGTCTTTTTTTTTTTTTTTTTTGCTTTTGCATCAAAGAAGCTCGTTAAATGATGAAAGAATGGAATGGGTAGGACATGATTAGTTTATTGTGTGTCTGTTACTTTCTATTTTATAGTTTATTAGTCATTCTTAGTTCAAAGATTGTTTAATTTAGGGAATAAAGATGAAGATGGTGGCTGGACGGGCCTACTTGGATGATGAAGAATGAACATTTTCCTATGAACTTATTGACTATTGTTTAGTATTTCGACATTTTAAGAACTTGTGATTCTAGGAAGTGATCACTATTTGTTTGTTATTTGTTATGTTAAGTGTTTACTGTTAAGATTTAAGAACTAGGCATTGCTAATTTTATATGCACTTGGATCATATGAAGTATTCCAGGAAACAAGAAATATTTGAGAATTTTTTCCATTTCTGCTCTAAAGGCCTAGGCGCGCCTAGGCTACGCCTAATCGGGCAAGGCACAAGTCAGGAGCCAAACGTCTGCCTTACGCCTAGCGCTTTGTTGAACCTTGATTTATAGTACTCTCGAAAATTTCAATATTAGTCTTTGGTACATAGATATTGTTGTGGCAATTTCGATATTAGTCTGTGATACATGTATATCATTATGGTTATGTTGGATCCTAGTCTTTGGTAGACATTGTGCCATATAGAAATGAGTTGAAATTGGTTACTTAAGTTGTTGTAAACTTGCACGTTTGTTTTTACATCTAAAGGTTATGCGTGTTGTGGTTGAACAACAGTTGGGAAGTTGAGTGGAGTTGTCCACACGGTTGCATCATATGATAGACATGAAGGAACCAAACATGGATGAAAGTGAACCTATGGATGAGGAAGCACCTGAGGTTGTTTGCCGACGACGTGAGAGCCACCATGCTTCAAATGGCGTGCTCTGCCCCACTTCCTCCTCAACCGACTCCTTCCTCGACAACGGCATTCCCCCCTCAATCTCATGTGGCGAGCCACTTACCCGTTGTCGAGGAGTCAAGGAGGGTTCTGGATCCGACCTTGCCTGCGCCTCCTCGTTCTCCTTCTTCCTCGCCATCGACGTCCAATCCCGCCGTCGGCTCGACACCTTCCCCATCTTCCTCGCTAGTGGGCCTTCCATCTTCTTCTTCTTCGGTGGCAGGTGGCTCTTTCCGCGGAAACTCCACCCCGCTTCTGGCCTTGCCTCCTCGTCGATCGGCGCCTAGCAAAAGAAAGAGACATTGACGCCGCCGTTCTTCTTCCTCTCACCTTTCGGCGGTGTCTCTGTCGTCTCGTCTTCTTCTCAAGCAGTGACCCATCCATTGGGTGATGAAATCGAGCCTGACGTGGCCCGTGTCGCTATCTCCATTCTCCGGCCCGTCGGCGCAATTGAAGCAGCCCGCAATTGAACTCCCATCTCCGTCGCTTTCTCCTTGTCTTTCTGCTTGCGGGACTCAAGGCCATCTTTGGGAAATTCACCTGCGAGGTGTCCCCACTTTTCATATGTGATTTATCCTCCTACGCGCACGACGCTACTGACGCTACCGAGCTCATTGTAGTCTTCGAATCCACCACATCAATGATTGGTGGTGGTGGTGGTAATGCTGTGTTCAGAACGACAACGACGGTTACTAATGATGGCGTCATCATCTCTGCCGAGGACAAGGCCTTGCCGTTGAGGGTTGGATGTTCGATAATGGTGATGATGCTTGTGATGGAAGGCGCCATTGTCGTGTCCTTTGCGGTTGGTGGCGTGGCAGTGGCTTCGTGATCTTCCTTTTCGACTGCAGCGGGGAAAAATATGGTGGGAATGTTTGTCGTAGGTGGTGGGGATGGCAAACCTGCCGCGCCTAGCACCTCCTTATCACTCCGCCTCGAGGCCCGGGTCTGCTCCTCATCCTCGGCAGTGTCAACCCCCTCAAGAGCGGTAGCACCATCCGCCGTAAACGTCCACCCCCACTCTCGTGCCTCCTTCTCTTGCTCGTCAATAATGAGCTCGAGCTGTTGTTTCACAAGAGTCCATTCAAGATCGGAGAGCCTCAATAAACTCATGTTGGCTCAAGATCGCACCGATCCGCCGTCCCCGATCGAGCTGAGCGGTGACTCACGCCGCCGCGCAAATGATTGAACCTGCGATTAGAGTTCTATCGGGTATTGGGATTTAGAGATTAAGAATAGAATTAGGGATTTGAGAAGAGAAAGATAGAGAATCGGCATGGGCCTTTAGAGGGATTGGGAACGAGAATTGAGAGGATTAGGAGAATAAGGTTTAGGAGATTGTTTATTAATATTCTTCTTGACTGCTCTGAATAAAACGCAAGTACATATTTATAACGAAAGAGTGGAAAACCTAAAGAACTATCCTAATATGACTCGATTACTTAATAATAATAACCCTTGTAATAATAATAATAATAATTATTATTATTATTATTATTATTATTATTATTATTATTATAGAAACCTTTTCTATCATCTCCTCCCCCTTGAGACCAACCTTGGCCTCAAGGTTGATCAATTCAACCCACTTCTTCATCTTTCCCGCACCATCTGCGCGTTGTCATCTCCAATTCTTGCCCTTCCTTTTCTTCCCCCAATTATCAAACCCGTTAGAAACTTTGTTTCTAACATTTGGTATCAGAGCCCTACGTGTTTGAGTCATAATAGGATAGTCAATTAGGTTTTTCTAGTCTTTCGTTATAAATATGTACTTTGGGTTTAAGTCATAGTGAGACAAGAAGAATATTAAGAAAACAATCTCCTAAACCATATTCTCCCAATCCTCAATTCTCGTTCTCAATCCCTCTAAAGGCCTAGGCTGATTCTCTATCTTTCTCTTTTGAAATCCTTAATTCTATTCTTAATCTCTAAATCCCAATTCTCGATAGAATCCTCTAACAGGTTCTATCATTTGGTATCAGAGCCAACATGAGCTCATTGAGGCTCTCTGATCTGGAGTGGGCTCGTGTGAAACAACATCTCGACACAATCCTTGTCGAGCAAGACCAGGAGGTGCGCGAACGTGCGACACGGCGGTGAGTCGTCGCGACACCAAACACTGAGCATGTGGAGGTTCCGCCGACGGTGATGAAGAAGATGATGGTGGACGGCGGAACGAGAATGATGCTAGCAGTGGTTTCTGGGACGAGGGAGTCGAGGCCCGAGCCGAGGATGGATGAAGCACCAGAGTCGCAGCTCTTCACTTAATGTGCGATCGCCTAGAAGCCCTCATACAACAAGCGCGTGATCGCTGAACCCATGAGGAACGAAGGTGGAAGGCAAATATGGAGGAGATCAATCGACTCCTAGACTCGCCGCGGCAAACCAAGCCACCCACCACCACCGTGGCGACTTCACCACCACAATCGCCGACGAAGGAGATTGCAGAGGCCGACGGAGAACCGTCGGTGGAAAGCAACGGGGTCGAGGGCGCTATTGATCCGATGAAGTCACCGGTGCAGGAAAAGAAGGTGACAGAAAAGAAGGCGACGTAGAGGCGCTGCCGAAGAAGGAAACCGCGCCAGAGATTGAGAAGACGAGCGATGCGATGGGTTCTAGCGAGCAATTGAAAAGGACCCCAACAATGGCTTCCATGGTGGCGACGAAGGCCAAAATGGTGGATGGACCTCCCTGCCAGGGGAGGAGTAGTTTGCCGCTGAGGGATAGATCGTCGGAGAAGAAGGTGAAGATGAGCGTCGCATCTTCGAGATCACCTTATGGTCACCTGGCGAATCGCTCGCCACCGGGGAACGAAGTGCCAAGGAGGAGACTGGAATCGAGCTCATCGCCAGAGGAGAAGAGGAAGAAGTTGCCGCCAGTAGAGCAAAGGAAGGGAGGTTGTGGCATTTTTCTCTCCAATAGCTCGGCAGGTGTAGCGTCGATCAACGCAGGGGCGATGGGGAAGAGGAGAGTCGCCAGATTGGGGCAGCTGTCCACCGATCAGGCGATTGGCGCGCCGGGAGAGGACGAGGCAGAGGAGCTACCGGCAGGGGATGTGCAGGTGGGAGGTATCCTTCCCTTCGCAAACCCTACGCAGCCTGGGCTAATCTGCTTGGTGCAACTCAGTAGAGGGCGATTGGGGCCATGGGCTCAGATATTTGGGCTGCAAGCCCTATTGAGCCAAGAGAGGCAGGGCGGTTTGTGGAGGGCGGGATGAAACTGATATGTTTCGTTGGGCTTGACCAGGATCAGTTGAGAGGGCTGCAGTATGAGAGGGAGCAAGGTGATCTAAGGTCGGGCTTTGGTCCATTCTTAGGAATGAAGTGGGCCGGTGAAGGGCTATGTAAAAGGGAGAATGGAAAAGAGGTAGTGGGCTTCACTACTAGTCTTGGGTCTCATTCTGAGGTATGAATGAGGATGAAGGGAGGTCTGATGGTTCAATTGCATCGGGTGGGCTTAGAAAAACATGGGGAAAGATCTATTGGATGGGATGGCAGTAAGGGAGCAATTAATTTGGCTGCCATCATGAGGACATTCAAGTCCAGAGGAGCTGCGTGGGTGGGAGGAGTTCGATTGGCCAACCGCAATTGGAAGAGAAGGAAACACAAAATACGATGGAGGCGACAACCATCTATTGCGGAAAAGTCGCTCAATTCAATCAACCTTGAGGGTAAGGTTGGTCTCAAGGGGGAGGAGATGATAGAACCCTACGGTTTCTATTATTATTATTATTATTATTATTATTAGTAGTAGTAGTCTTTGAGTCATAATAGGATAGTCTATTAGGTTTTTCTAGTCTTTCGTTATAAATATGTACTTTGGGTTTACGTCATAGTGAGTCAAGAAGAATATTAAGAAAACATTCTCCTATACCCTATTCTCCCAATCCTCAATTCTCGTTCCCAATCCCTCTAAAGGCCTAGGCCGATTCTCTATATTTCTCTTCTCAAATCTCTAATTTTGTTCTTAATCTCTAAATCCCAATTCTAGATAGAATCCTAGAAACAGGTTCTATCAGTTATCTAGGAAGAAGTTCAAGCTGCTGAAGTTAGGGTGAGTGAGCCAGTCAAGGTCACACTCATCTACTCCCAAAAAAGAAATCATGCGACCATCCAGCCGGATTGCCAGACTGCTCAAGATATTGTGGCGCCAAGCATGGAGAAGAAGACTGGTAAGGAGATTGTGGATCCAAGCATAGAGTTGACATATGATCATGTTGATAACATGATGCTATGGACACCTCCCCAGTTTTTTTACCTTCAAACTCGGTACGATTGGTCAAAGAGCCAACCACTTGCAATCTCAGACTAAGACCTGGCCAAAAACGTTTCTGCCAAAGGACTAGTTGCAGAGGTCTTTTGTCTAGTTCATCTTTAGTACCTTCGATGAGTACGAGTAAGTCTTCGCACAAGACATAGTTTCATGTAGATCTCACCATTGCTAACCAGATTGCCATGTATCTTTTGTAGTGGTACGTGAATAATGGAAACTCAACTTAGTAAGCTCACCTTATTGCACTTTCTTGCATTGAAGCGTACCACTTGGGTCATTGGGGTTGTGGTCGTAGCATATGGCACTTTCTGAATGACCAGGCAAACAATATGAGGATTTCCAGGAAGTGCGCTTCTCACTACTTAAATCTAATAGTTTTTATGAATAATGGTGAGGTTTATTTCATCAAAGTACTATCAAAACTGTAAATACAAATACAAAGAGAACTCAACTTCAGTCACTCTTCTCACAAGAAAACTACACAAACTCTAGCTTCTAAGCTGTGCAAAAACTAAGAATCTACAAACCAAAAAGTCTTGGCTTTTGAAGCAGCCTCTTCAAATTGACAATTACAGCAAGCATTGAATCAATATCACGTCTCATCCCCATAATCAGGTCTTATGTTGTCCTCTGCACTTTCCTGTAAAGCCGTCGACATCTTTCTCTCCAAATCTCACTCATCAACATACACTAGAGAAGTTTTCCCACTTTGCACCCCTACAACTTATTCACGACTTCCCAAACTCCTACCACCTAGTCGTGCAGCATATAATCAAAGTGCAAATAAAGATGCTCTATAAACTCAGGGTCTAGTTAGCACGAAGGGTAAACATTCACAACTTTTGGAGACCCTCACCTTATCCAGGGTTATAATCCTATCAATGAGAATCAACCACACAAGAACTGAGTTTTTAGGGATCTGAGGATTCGACCAAACAAATTTTGACCACTCCACCTTACTTTCCCGAGGCCTGATGCTATCCCAAACTTTATTTAATTGCAACCTTAAGATTCAATATCGTTGCTCCTTTGTGAATAGGCACAAGCCGCTAAGGATTGGAAGAAGAAAGTGGTTGTAGACATCACAAAACTGGATAGGGCAAACTCTCTTTCAATGTTTTTCCTATGCTTGAGGATTCACCTTTGCATGCATGTGATTAGGTAAGTGTTTTTGTCTGATCATTGTTGGATATTAGTCTCTATACGGTTGGATATTTGTCTATGAACGGTTGGATACTAGTATGTGTAAGTCATAGTTTTGTGTTCAGGTTTTCTTTCCGGTATTTGTGATAAACCACTACCGCGTCTATCCAGCTGATATAAGGAAGAAGAAAACGTTCCTTTTGGATAGCGAAAATCCCGTGGAAGCAGAGGCTAAAATGAACCACTACCGGATCTATTCATTTTAGACGTTTCATACAAAGCTAAAAAGCTTTGTATGAAACGTCTAAAATGAATAGATCCGGTAGTGTTTAGCTTTGTATGAAACGTCTAAAATGAATAGATCCGGTAGTGGTTCATTTTAGCCTCTGCTTCTACAGGCTTTTCCCTGTCCATAGACCAGGTAGTGGTTTATGGACAAATACCGGGAAGAAAATCTGAAACCTGAAACACCTTATATCAACTGCATAGACCCGGTAGTGGTTTATCACATATATCGGGAAGAAAACGTGAAACACAAAATGATTGATGACTTAACAAGACTAGTATCCAACCGTTAATAGACAAATATCTAACCGTACAGAGACTAATATCCAACCATGATCAGACAAAAACACTTACATAATCACATGCATGCAATGGTGAATTCTCAAGCATAAGAACAGCCTTGAAAGAGAGTTTGCTCTACCAGCGTTGCCATGTCTACAACCACTTTCTTCTTCCAATCCTCAGCAGCTTATGCATATTCACAAAGGAACAACAATATTAAATCTTATGGTTGCAATTAAAAAAGTTTGGGATAGCATCAGGCGTCAGAAGAACTAAGGTCGAGTCGTCAAAATTGATTTGGTATAATCCTTGGATCCCTAAACACTCAAAATTCTTGTGTGGTTGATTCTCATTGATAGAATTATAACCCCGGATAAGGTGAGGAAATGGTCTCTAGAAATTGTGAATAATGGCCATTTGTGCTAACTAGACCCTGAGTCTAGAGAGCATCTTTATTTCCACCGTGATTACACACAACAGGTTTGGCAAATTGTTTTCCATGTAGACTAGAGTTACGGGTCGCAGGACTGGGTGGTAGGATTTTGTGAAGCTGTGAGTAAGTTGCATGGGTGCAAAGTGGGAAGACACCTCTTGTGTATGGTGATGAGTGAGATTTAGAGAGAAAGATGTCAAAGTGGTTTATAGGAAAGTGCAGAGGACAGCAGAAGACTTGACTATGGGTTGAGACATGATATTGAGTCAATGCTTGCTATAATTGTCAATTTCTAGAAGCTGCCTCAAAGCCAAGACTTTTTGGTTTATAGATGCTTAGTTTTTGTATAACTTAGGAGTTAGAGTTTGTGTAGTTTTTCTTTGTATTTTTATTGACTGTTTTGATAGTAATTTGATGAAATAAAGCTCACCATTATTCATTAAATAAATTTATGGTTTAAGTATTGAGGAGCGCACTTACATCAAAAGTCATCGGGAGACACATTTCCTGGGTATCCCATACTATTTGCCTAGTCATTCAGAAAGTGGCCATATGCTTCGACCACAACCCCAGTTACTCAAGTGTCAAGCTTCAATGACAGGAAGTGCAGTCAGGGTTGAGTTTCCATTACCCACGTACCACTACAAAAGATACATGGCAATCTAGTTAGTAGTGGTGAGATCCACATGAAACTATGTTCGGTGTGAAGACTTACTCGTACTCATCAAAGGTACTAAAGATGAACTCAACCACAGACTTCAACAATGGGTCCAGCTTGGCATACACTTTTTTGGCCAAGTCATAGTCGGAGAATGCAAGTGGGTGCCTCTTCCACCGCTTGTATCGAGGAGTTTGGAGGTCAGAAAGTTGTGTAGGTGTCTAGAGCATCAGTTCATCATCATCATCATCATCATCTGTCATCTCCATGCTTGGCTCCGCAATCTCCTTACCCGTCTCTTTCGCCATGTTTGGCACCATAATATCCTGAGCAGTCTAGGAATCTAGCTGGCCGGTCGCATGACGTCTTTTTCGGTAGTCGATCAGTGTGACCTTGACCGAATCACTCACCCTAACTTTGGAAGTTCGAACTTCTTCCTCGGCAACCATCTCATGTCCTTCCTCATCCACAGAACCATCGTCATCCATGTTTGTTTCCTTTAGGAGTAGGTGAGTGCGATATCTTCTTCAGGATTAGGTGAGTGTGACCTTGATCGGCTCACTCACCCTAACTTCAGAAGCTTAAGCTTCTTCCTCTGCTACCACCTCAGGTGCTTCCTCATCCATAGGTTCACCATTATCTATGTTTTATTCTTTCAGGTCTATCATATGACGCAACTGTAAGGACAAATCCACCCATCTTTCCAACTGTTGTTCAATCACAGCACTCACAACCTTCAGCTGTAAAAATAAATGTGCAAATATGCAATAGCTTAAGTAACCAATTTCAACACATATCCAGATTGCAATGAGTCTACCACAGACTAGTATCCAATATAAAATGAATGATATCCATTTACCATAGACAAATATTGAATTGTTCAGAGTAATATCCAACATGGCAATTAGAACAATTGAGAAAGCAACAACTACAAAGAGAAGTTCAAATGTTGTGTTGTTGGATCAAAATTGCCTCCCTCTTTTGGACCTTAGCCCGCCTTGGTTCCCAGTTACTGATCATGCTGTCAATGATTGACCGCATTGCCTTAAGCTACACATATGTGGCAAAACATTCAGTTTTCAGCATGCAGCCATTTCTACCAACAGACCACCTTAAGTTGCAAACAAAGACGACATTTACATACCTGGTTGATATCAAGGCGGTGCAGATCCTCTTTCTCCCACTGTTCCGCGTTGTAGACTTCAGGAGGAGCTTAAATTCTCTAGCCTTGTTCCCTATTCCTCTCAACCGGCTCTGGCTCCTCTCTCAAAATGTGAGATCTGGCCTTGTCCCTTATCATCCACACGGCAGCCAGCTGATTTCTTCTTTCCTCGTCTTCACCAATGGTGACATCTTCGAACACTTCATCCATCCTTAGTTTGAACTAGTAGTTGCAGCTCGGGCTGGTGGAGGTGGCCAAACCTTCCACTCTAAGGAAGTCCAGCAAACGGACCTATAAAAAGTGAATTCAAAAAATTTAAAACAAGAAGTGAAATACTAAAACAATGCTCATAAGTCCTAACATACTATCAAGAAGTGGATATCCTCACGAGCCCAAAACACGAAAGCTCTCTATGCCCTAGCAACAGCTTCATGTGCCTTAGCAGCACCTTCACAACTAAACCACTGCAATTATAAGTCCTTATGTCCTCCAGCATCCCACCCATACACAGTGCATAGTCAAGCTTGCATTTGCGTGCAGAAATTAGAGTGAGTAACGAAGCAACAGCCAGCAACAAGAACTGCTTCACAGCCATCTAAACATCAGGACTCACCATGGAGGAGATAGCTATATCAAGTAGGTCCAATAACTTAACATTCCGGTGGCGGGTACTTGTCTTGCTAATTTTCGAGGTGAAACTGTCAAGCAACTGTTTCTTACACTTCTTCACCTTGATCTCAGCACACCAAGAGAAAGTCTGTATACACGGGCTACATCCTCATCCTCCATGGTTAGCACCCTATGGTTTTCTCCTTCATCGAAAATGAAGGTACTCAAAGGGGGGTCGTAATGGGACATCAACTCATACAACGACCTATGGTCAAATGTCTGCAGTCAAAGCTTTAATAAACCACCAAACCCTGCCCTGTGGACCTCCTGCTTGCATGTTGCATAGTAACCTGCATCCTTCTTCTAGAAGTCTAATACTTGTAGGAGCATTGTGGTGAGACACCGATGTCATTACTAAAAACTGTAGAAACCAACCTGGACGCTCAACCTCTAGCTTTACCGGTTACTCAACCTCTGATTGTATATGTGGTTGTGGTTCAACATTCCTTCTGAATGGGGCTCCACCATTATGATGTTTCCTGGGATTTGTTTTGGTTCGCGACATCCTGCAAAATACTTGAGTAAACTACAATTAGGAATGTTTCCATGCCAAGCAGTATTAACAGACTAGTATCCAACTTTAAACAAAAAAATTTGGTAATTGTTGTTGTTTCCGAGTAAGCTCCAATCGGGTTCAAACTAGAACCAAGTTCCTCGAAAATCCTATTAAGAAAAAGAAACTTTATGCTCAACCAAGTCAGTTACACCATATCTTTAACAACAGCCGACTCTTCATGAACATGCTCCTTCTTCACCTCCTTCTCCATCCTCCTCATCCCAAACAAAGGCTTGTTTTGGTGAAGAAGACCCAAAATCTTCTTTTGCTGTTATCCTTTCCTTATCCCCGCTATTCTCCTTTCTTGGCATTCCTGAAGAAACCGTTCAATTTACTCAAAATCTCACGAACCCATTTACTACATACCGATTCGAAACAGAAGGGGTTCTTCAACTATGATCTAAAGGCCAAAAATTTACTACTTACCGATTCAAAAAACGTTATTGTCGTTGTTTTGTTCTTCAATAGCAAGAATTGGAGTTTCTTCTGCTATTGATAGAGGAGCTTGGCTCTGTTTCACCGGAGCAGATGAAACCACCTGGTACTATCGCTCACAGACAGTTGGGTCGAGCACCATCACATGAAACACCCTGTCGCTATTCAGCCTAAAGACTAGAAAATCTCCCACGTGTAAATCATGCTCCTTCGCAAACACCATTCAACCATCTTTAAATTCTCTACCGCTCTCTCTTAGTGTGTAGAAATTTCCCGCAGCGGGATGTCGGAACGATAATATGATCACCACCATTGTAGAACTTGACCACATTGCCTTAAGCTACAAATAAGTAGTAAAACATTCATTTCTCAGCATGCAACCATTTCTACCAACCCAACACCTTAACCTATAAACAAAACGACATTTACATACATGGTTGATTTCAAGACTGTGCAGGTCCTCTTTCTCCCACCACCTTTAGTTCAATTGTCTTGCAAATTGATGTTTCACGAGCGGCATCAATTTGAGGGAAGTTGTTGACGTATTAGGTTTTGTGTGTTTGTCCCAAATGTACATATGTATATTAGTCTCCTTTGTTACATGTTATCGGACTAGGCCGTGTGTGCCTTTGTGGGTTGGAGTGGCTTACGTACGCCATTAGAGAGCTAGGGTTAGCATGATCAATCTATATATTTGCCATGTAAATTACCTATCCGATCATCGATTTTATCGAAATAAGATTAGAGCTCGGAGAGGCAAAACTCTCATGTGGACTAGTCCTAATCTCGAGCAGGTCCAGCCCAGTCCTGTGCTAGTCAGACCCACAGCACAGGGCTTGGAGTGGCTTACGTACGTCATTAGAGAGCTAGGGTTTGCATGATCACATTATATATTTTCCATGTAAATGACCTATCCGAATATCGATTCTATTGGAATAAGATTAGAGCTCAGAGAGGCAAAACTCTCCTATGGACTAGTCCTAATCTCAAGCAGGCCCGACTCAGCCCTGTGCTGGTCAGACCCACAGCACATGGCCTCAATTTTATTGGGGCCTCATAATCAATTAAGTCTAGAGGCCCACAGAATCCAAAGAGTCTGTATGCTACCTTGGGCTCCCAAGGCCCCACATAAACCCTTAGTCCCGAGGCCCCGTGGGATGGCGAGGCCCACAAACACAAAAACACAAAATTCAAAGGCGCAAGGAGGGGAATCGAACCATGGACCTATCAAAAAGAGATGCAACCACTGAGCTACAAGTTGTTTGTTGAATCTATACTAACAGTTAGGTATTTGAATCGATACTGAAGTTTTGTAATTTTATTATTATTTAATAATTTTTAATATTAATAAATTTGTCACAAAAAAATTTGGGGTCACATTTTAAATTGTCGAACAGGCCCTCCGATTATCATGGGACGGCTCTGATCTAGAGAATACCAAGTACGTCATGTGTGAGTGAGTTATTTGCATTGATTATTTGTTTATCGTTCGTTTAAGCTCGTCTGTTAACAAAACGATAGACTCACTCAAACAATCATCGGATCGAAAGCAAATTTGCTAAAAAAAGATATCAAATGTATGAATAGTCTTATACGTACGCTTGCGTCTCGCTTGCATTGCAATGCAACCTTTCCATCTCTTTGTTTCCCGATCGAATCGGCTCATCACTCGCCTTATTCTAAATCTTGGGATCTCTTAAAATCGAATCCCAATAGCACATCGTGTTAATCTCACGAAAACTGAAGGCGAACGGCTCGTTCGGATGCTTGGCTTCCAGATCATCGACGATAGCATCCGCACATTCGTCGCCAAGCACAGGCTTACAACATCCCCAATCTATCAGCTCCTTCTTCCCCAGTACCACCAATTCCGTGTCTTCCCAACACTTGCTGCTCTTCTTCTTGTAACAAGCTTTGGTGAAAGCTTCTGAGTGCCATGGCTGGTGATGTTTTTTCGCGACTGTAAATGAGCTCATCTCTCTAGTTATTAAGACAGCAATTACCACAGTCAAAATTGGTACCTTACAGATTGACCTTCCAAAACTTGCCATGTGTAATTGTGTTTAGGAGCTAGAGAGAGAGATTTGGCTTTGGATTATTAGTTTATAATTACTATAAGGTTTGATCACAGGGTTCATATTATAGATTATATATATATATGATTACGCAGCATACAAACTGAAGTAATTAATGAGGTTAAGTAATTAAGATTTAATTACTTAATTGCTCTTTTGGCTTGGTCAGTTTTCATGAATGCATCAGAGTAATTGGATGAGTTACGTTTTTTCCCCCTCATATTGGGGTTAGATTAATTAGTTACTCTAGAACTTAAATTTAATAAATAAAAGCTTAGTTAACTGATTCATTTATTATAAGAACGTCCCTTAGGTAATTAATGACTGTTAGCAATATATATTCCTGACTTCTCTCGTGTGGACGAAGGAGCATTATTTCTTGAATTAGCAAATATGACGAGGTTTTGTTGTTATGTTTATGTGGCAATTTGCGTCGGTGTTGTGGCAATAGCGACCGCTCCAACGTCCGTCGCGAAAAGGGCTCCGAAAAATTACATTCCATCTTCATCTCTAGCTCGGGATTGCGAAATGAACAAGCACTGCGCAGAAGATTTTCGGTTGGCCATCCTGGGGAAGAAGGGCATCCCTCCAATCTGTTGCATGTATTCCCCAGCTGATCCGAAATGTACCAAGCTCGTGTTGCAGGATGTGATCTCGAAGGAGGGCAAGGGAAGTGCAAAGGCGAAGCAAACCTTTCTGCTCAACTTGTCCCACTTAATGGATAATTGCGACTATTACATGTTAGTTGGTCGTGGCTAAAGGGGTTGTGGGCGATTCTTCTATCAAGTTTTGCGTCGTCAACTATATAGTGACTTTAACGGCATAAGAGATTGTCTAAAGGGTGTGGATAGAGAATGTGAAAGGAAATATAGGATGATGTATGTTCTTGGTATACTTTTAATGCACTGGGACTATATTTTACCACATAATTGTTATTGTTAGAGTGTCAATAGAGTCAGGTTGGATAATTTTTGGGTTGGGTAATCTCGGCTTATGGGTTGTAGTAGGTTGGATCATGTCGGATGGATTGATTTTGAATTCAATATTGACCTAATAAAAAACTTTCAGGTAAGTTTTGTGAACGAGGTTACCATGATCACCAACTGCTGCAGGTCTTCAGAGATGCTGCAGAAGGAAGAACAGATTAAGCCGAGAACATCTTCCTTTCACTCTGCTCAGTACACAGATGGTGACCTTGAAGCGGCGTCGTTTTCCTTAAGTGGTAGACACTCCACAAAGCAGAACGACGCAGTATTGGCGGATTGTAATTAGTTAGCGTTTAAACTTAGCTTAAGCCACTTGGCACTTTTCTATTGGTTAGTTTAATTAAACGTTGCTCTTTACCGTTAATATACAGTGACCAGTGATATATATATATATATATATGAAATCCCACAGAGCAAGAAGGCATTCTGCCGATTCCACACAGCGGCTGCTCTTATCTTCTTGTAAACCCTAGTGTTCTTGACTGCTAGGTTAAAACTTTCACAAGTTTTTAGGTCACTTCGGCTAACGAGTGTTCTCATAAACTAAAAATGACATGGTTGAAAGTTTATCAAAGAACCCAATTTTACATATATGGATGATGATTGTTTACCTGTCAAATTTCAATAGACATATTTTCAAATGCTCGCATATTAATGATAGAAAATACAAATAGCAACCAAGGATACCGCAAGAACAATAATACTACAAGAAGCCCAAGCCCATGACATTTGATTATCCTTTCTTTCCGAACTTTTATTTCAAAATTCTAGTGAATCTTTTAACACATTTAACCAATTTATGAGTAACTTTATTATTTTGGAGGTGAATATGATCTAGAGTGGGTCGGCACACTGATCCACCTAACCCAAAAATGTGTGGATTACTCGAGTTTCAACCACTAAGAGTTTTGGTTATAAAAAATATTGAACCAGTCCTAATTTCTCTAGCGAATGCGGGAGGGGTTGGTTTAATGCATCATGTCATAATTTAACAAGTCTACTCATTGTAGTTATCTAATTTATCTAAAAATAATTTTAGTTTTTAACTGTACAATAAATCAAAAAATGTTGAATTAATGCAAAAAAAACATATTAGTTTGATTGCATTTAAAGTATTTCCGAAACTTAATGGATAGAAGTTGAAAACTTCATCTAATGACCTAAGGGCAAAATTTTTATAAATGCAAGGAGTAGCTACAGATCTAGACTGCGTTATCTTGTTAAAAAATGCCACAAATTAAAATTTTATAGTTGATGATTAGGATCTGGCTTACCAAAAAATTAAAGGCATCACAACCTCAATTAGAGTCTAGTAGATGGATAATTATGGGGTTTTTCTGGATAGTAAGCCGGGATTTTAATGTTATACCTAATCGAGTTGAAGCTTTTAAAGGGGTCTGTCTTGTTAATGAGTTGAGTAGATGGAATTGGTTGACCATTAAGCTTCGGGATCGATTTCCTTTTTATTTTATTTTTATTTTTTTACATGGTTGAATCACCAACAAGCTCACCTCATAGTTAAGAAGTTCGATAGAATGTTGGTAACGGATGGTGGATACTTAGTGTTAGTAACCACCATGGTTACTAGTGATAAGAAGGGTATTTGCTTCCATCCTAATTCAAACTACTATTTTAATTATGTTGTTAATTAAGGAGATATAATTCTGGAGACTAATTATAAGGAGATTTAATCACCGTAGAGCTTTGTTAGTCCAAGATTTTCGGCAGGAAAAGAATTCCGCGTTGTAAACGTTCCCGGAGGAGAGAAATGGTGATCGTCGACATTGCACCATCGCCGGATGTGTTAGAGGGAAGAAGCTTAGCAATGAAGGTGTTGTTCGGAGAAAGTCATGCATAAAGTTGTACCAGATGACAAATCGTCATGGCAGCATTTGAGATTTGACTATAAGGAAGCATTTGTCAAGTTCTACGAGGACTTCGCACACTGGAGGGGGGTTGGAGTAAGACGTATTGGCCAACAGATTCGAAAGCCAAATATCTTAAAGAACGGAAGGTGTTATACTTTGGAATCAGTAAGTATGTCAATGCAATTTGTATCATGATTTTCATTCCTGATTGTAGGTCTGCCACCGTTGAGCTCAACGGACGATGATACGATGCAATCCACCACACCTACTAATCAACCACCACTGAAGGGGAAGACGTTGAAGTAAAGGAAGGAGCCATCTAGGATAAGGAAAAGAAGGAAGGGGTTTGCCGACAGGCTCAGAGAGAGTTCGAGGAAACATCTAATCAATGAGATGAACAAGGCTGGATAACAACAATTTTTTTGTAGTATGATTGAGTCATGATTTAACTTTATCAGTTTAGTTGCAAATGTTGAACACATTTATTTGGGATTCTTATGTTTTCAGTTGAATGGATTAGTATTGGTTTTAATTATGCTTGAGTAGAATGGTCCTGGACGAACTGGTTTTGCAATTGTGTTTTGTTTATTGGATTATAATGTGTTGATTAGTATTGGTATTTAGTTGAATGTCATCTGAAATGGTATTGGTACTCGCTTATTTGATAGTGCAGTGTGTTTGATACAAAAGTCTAATCACTACAAGAATTTTGGTTTCTTCTGACACCCATGTTTGTCAAAATAGATCTCAACTTCGTCATAATAGGTTTACTGTGACAAAATATTTTGTCACACTTTTAGTCAAAACTACCTCGTCAAAATAAGTCTGTAATGACAAAATTATTTTTTTCTCACAATAAGTTTTTCCTATTTTGACAAAATGGTTGTCGTTATAATATCAACCTATTATGACAGAATGGGTGTGTTAAAATAAGGGTCTATTTTGTCAGAACAGGGGGTATTTTGTGACAATATTCAACACTTTTTTCCCAGCTATTTTGACGAAATATGTAGTTCCGACGAATAGTTTGTCATAAGATTTTGTCATAATACACGTAGTGTCGGATCTTCGTACTTATTTTGACAAACGAATTTGGTCAAACAGAAGGCAACATTTCCCAATTTTGGTCATTTAGACTTGTTATTTTGACGACCTATTTGTCAACTTAGAGCCTTATTGTGACAACCGTATGTTAGTCAAGTTAGATGGTTATTACGACAACATTGATAATAACAAAAACATACTTCATTTTCATAACTAACTTCATGTCCAAAATATGGATATCATTCTTGTGCCACCAACCGTTCATGTCTCGACACTCATAACTTATCTAGAAGCACAGTACTTAAAAAAAAAACAAAAAAACCAAAAGTCTACATCAGCCCTGCCCAACAAAAGCTAATCTAAGCATCCATAAGCTGCCGGTGGAGAATCCAAGTGCATCACCACAGCTGACGTGTTTCCTGCACAGTTGCAGAAGCGAAGGCAAAACGATTAGACTCTGTTATAGGCGCAAATTTCCTAAATGTAAAAACATCTTTCTTATTACCTGAAACTAAGTGCTGCCTCCATTGATTTTCGCAGCAAGTGACTCCAGATACTCCTTGAGACTGTCATGTGATGCTTGCAAGGCATCGATAGTCACCTTATGACCTCGGATCTCTTCTTCCTATTTTTCGATCTGGTCTTGCTGAGATTTGATTTTATCTTTGAATTCCTGCCTCTGTTTATCTGCATCAGCAAGAGAGGTCTCCAAACGAGCTTCCAGTTCCTTCTCTCTTTCGGAAATGAGGTCTTCCTTTCTAACATAACTCGGTGCTTTCTGCAGCACCTTGCAAACAATTTCAGCTCCTGACAATGGATTTCCTTGTTCAACTGCCTCTAGATAAATCCTCCACATTTCCTCCTGCAAGCAACCGTATACATAATAAATACACACCAAGGGTATGAACCCTTGGCCTCATTCGAGGAACCAATCAAGATCATTCCTTCACCCAACAAACCCCTAATCATTAATGTATTCAATATACCAACTATCCTCTAATTACTAGACTCCCTATAATCCTCCTGTTACTCATCCACAACGAAAAGAGTGCTTACATAGTTCTGCTCGGGTTGCACATTCACCCAACATCCATCAAGT